ATTCTGTGAACTCGTGGATTTTGTGCTTGCTGAGTGAAAAGCTGGGTAACCAAGGCCTCTCCCTCCGTGTGCTTTGTTGCAGACAAGGATGCAGAGCTTGCAGCCGGACCCCAAAGCCCAGTACAGGAGCGTGTACGAAGCTCTGAAGAAGATTGTCCTCACTGAGGGGCTCTGGAGGCCTTTACGTGGGATTAATGTCACCATGCTGGGGGCTGGCCCTGCCCACGCCATGTACTTTGCCTGCTATGAGAAAATGAAAAAGTCCCTCAGTGACACTCTCCAGCAGGGAGGAAACAGCCACCTGGCCAATGGTATTTTGGGGGATGTCACCCTAAAAAAACACCCCCACCCCACTTGTGGTTTTATCGCTTGCTTCCTGCTCTAGGCAGCCAAATAATCCCCCTGGGAGGAGGCAGGAGGCAAAGAGGTGGCACCTGCCCCTGGGTTGAGCCCTTCTTGGTGGTTACCTTGTTCCTCTGACACCCCTGGCACTGGGCAGTGCTTGGCAGGTCTACAGAGGGTAGAGGAGGCTGGGCTGGGTGTCAGCAGTGGAGTAGAGAAGCCCTTCCTGACCTCATGGCACTCGTGTTTGCCCTCCAAATTCAGGCTGGTTTAGGTTCCTACACTGCTCTCTCCCAGCACGAGTCCTCAGTGCAGTGGACAAGGTGTTCAGGTGCAGTTGTGCTGATTCTGTGTTGTCACAGAACCATTAAAGTTGGAAAAGGCCTTCAGGAGCATCAGGTCCAGCCTTTGAAGGTGTCCCCTAAAGGTATAACCTTGTGTTGAAGGCATCACTCCAACCTCTGGGAGGTTTGGAGCTCAGGTTGTTCCAGCTGTCCCTGGGAGCTCCAACATGAAGTGCCCTCCTCCATCCTCTGCGTGCTCAATTTGGCTTTTATCAGGAATATTTTGCTTTTCAACCCAGAAATAACTCTGTAACAGCAGAAACTCTTTAAATGGACAGCCAGGGTGTTAGAAAAAGGTTTGTGCAGGAGACCTGACGTGCTGTGAGAGCAGGAATCTGCCATGGACTCACTTCCCTCAGTTCAGGGAGTAAAACATCCTTCTTCTTGCTGCTTTTTGCCAGGAATACCTTTCCCATGTTTGCCTTTCAAGTAGCTACAGGCTTTTTGGTACCAGCAGGAAAACTGGAGCTCTGGGTTAATGAGAAATGACCAAAAGTCATTTGGGCAAGAGAGAATTCGAGGTGGGAACCCAGATCAAAGGGGAAGGTGTGGCTGGAGAGGCCCTTCCTGGAGCCAAGTGCGGGATCGTTCATGGCTGGTTGGACTTGGCAGAATGTGGGCAATTAGTGTTTGAGAAGTAAAGGGCTGAGTAAAGGGCTGCAAACACCTAATTAGGGATGTGCTGGGCTGGTTGCAAACATTGCTCATGTCTCAGTCATTTTGCAGGGGGGTTGTGGTGTGGACAAACCCCTGGGAGTCGTTGGGGATGGTGGCTGTGAGTGCATCCCGGTGTCCCTGGGTGGCTTTTGCTGCCCTGGCAGTCACTGCAGTGTCCCTGGGCGCTCCCCCAGCTGCCTCCATGGGTGGCAGTGCCCAGGCAAGCCCTGGCTCCTCTGTTTGCCTTTCTCAAGGCTGCTCTTGCCCCGCAGGGATAGCCGGGAGCGTGGCCACGCTGCTCCACGACGCCGTGATGAATCCCGCCGAAGGTAAGCCCTGGGCAGGGCAGGGCTGCTCCCCCCGGGGGCAACCATCAAAAATACACACTCTGCTTCCAAGCAGCAAGGCAGGAGAGGGATAGAACAGCACAGGGGGTTTGTTGCAGCAGATCTCTGACGTTTATGCTCCTCGGTGTAACATAAACGTTGCTTTATAATTCCTTTATAAGCGTACCTTGGGATTGGCTGCCCTGGAGCAAACTCATCATAACTTAGCATTTGTGGTGACAAATTCCCCTTTTTTTTTTCTTGTTTTTAAATGGGAAAACAAGGTTTGGGAGAAACTCTGACTAATTAGTCCTTGAGCACAAGATGTCAAACAGGGGACATGTAGTCAAATGCACAAAACTTCAAATAATGTGCAATGAGCATCTTCTCACATTTAGCACTAACATTAAAAACATTTAACCTGTCAAAAAAGACTATCAGATAAACATTTGTTAGATATAGAAAGGTAAGCAAGGAACAAATGCAAAAGAAAGAATTTTGGACAATGTTAGACTAAGTAACCATGGATCAATTTAAAACATGTTTAGTTGGCTTAAACAAACTACTTATTCCCATTATTCTCTGTCAGAAATTAATTTTATTTAAGTTATCCTTTTAGTTAGTTTAAACAAACTACTTAACTTATTCCCATTATTCTCTATCAGAAATGAATTTTATTTAAGTTATCCTTTTAACGCTTTATTAAAACCGACTGATAATTAAATAGTTTTGAACTCAGTGAAATGAGGCCCCTCGGTGTAAAATGCAGCTAAAATGACAATTCTCTGGCCTGCAGCTCCTCACTGCACTCCTGAGCTGGCCCAGAGTCAGGTTTTTCTGGGGGAAGAAATCTCTGGTGTATCAAATCCTTTTAATTATGCCCTGATGAAGTGAATTAAATTAGTTGGCCTTTTGCTTGAGTCAGTGGAAGCTGCTCCAGTCAGTGGGGCTGGAGGTGGGTCTGTTCCACTTCCCAGGTGAGGGACAGTGATTAATTCACTTTTCTAGGACTAAAGAGTCATTAGTTAAGCTAGAACTAAAAGGTCATTAATTAAGCTGGAGGAGAGGAGTTCATTAGCCCATGGGAGTGCAGAGCTCTGCCCTGCTTCCCTCCCTGTGATAAGTCTTTTGGGGGCACTGGGAAGTTTGGGGGGCTCAGTTTGGGCTGGGAAGGGGAGGTTGGGTCAGGAGTTTGGGCTTGGAAAGGCAGGTTGGCTCTGGGTGACTCAGTTGGGTCTGGAGTTTGGGCTTGAGGGGCTTGGTTGGGTCTGGGTGGGCTTGAAAGGGGAGGTTGGGTCTGGGTGGCTCAGTTTGGGGGGTGTGGAAGGAGCTGTTGGCTCTGGGTGGCTCAGTCTGGATTTGGAAGGAGATGTTGGCTCTGGGTGGCTCAGTTTGGCCATGGAAGGTGAGGTTGGCTCTGGGTGGCTCAGTCCAGATTTGGAAGGTGAGGCTGGGTCTGGGTGGCTCAGTCTGGGGGGTGTGGAAGGAGCTGTTGGGTCTGGTGGCTCAGTTTGGGGGGTGTGGAAGGAGCTGTTGGCTCTGGGTGGCTCAGTCTGGATTTGGAAGGTGAGGTTGGCTCTGGGTGGCTCAATCTGGATTTGGAAGGTGAGGTTGG